ATGATTATGAAGACTACGCCTGAGATCATAAGTGTCCGATGGATCTGCAAAAATGATCATGATCATAGAGCATTAAAATTTGTATGCATTTATGATGGACTCAGTATAACATGATTACCGCAAACCAGAGCTTAACTCCGCATAGAGTAGAGTCAGGCCATGAGTTCTTGTAATGACGAGCGATTAGAATAGCAATACTCACGCATCCCAACCATCCGATTATCATAAATAAACCTAAAATCATAAGACTGTGAGTATTGTTTGAATAGCACATAATTGGTAATAGATATACCATGGAGTTTAATGAGTATATCAATGGGTTCTCCTTTAAGAATACCATTCTTCTGAAGGTTTACAGAAGTAGAGGAAGCCTTCTTCTGTGTGTGGAAATCAATGTTTTTTCCGTCTGTTTTGTAATCGCAGTTTCAATCAATAAAAGCTATATTTAATCAATTTAAACGTTCAATTACCTGGTTTAAGTGGTCCATAAGCCAGCAATAAATAGTATGAACTGTTTAGTAAATTAAATTCAGTGTTTTTGATGGTAAACACAGGCACTCGACTCCATCTACAGTAGACAATGCCTGAGTTAAATGAATGGCCCAACTCTTTAATACTGGTGTCGGTGTCTATATTTTCGGCGCCGTCGTGTCCGTCAGTCCATCCATAGGCCAGTCGTGGAATTCCGCTCACATCAAGTATGCATTCCGTGACAGTGTCTGAACCCATCTTCTTATCATTGGACAGCGCGAGAGCCATATACCGGTCACCGGAAGTGGTGCCCCGATTCCAGTACAACTCGAACTCAACGGTTCCCAACACTCCTGTCGACTCACTATTCGCGAAACTACTGTATAAAACGGTGCAGTCGTTTGTATCCACGCAATCCTCTTCTCCCTTAATACCGAAACACAGTCTCTCATTGTCTGCACATCTCTTGTATGCGGCCAACAAAGGGGATGGCATTTCAGTAGTGGGTCCCGAGGGCTCACTCGTAATACTTTTGTCCGTTTGTAGATTTACCGACGTTTTGCTCACATAATATTTTGAATGATAATCTTTTTCACCTGTAATCATGTTTTCAGTTTAAATATTACTTTTAAGACAATTCTATTTTCAAATTAATTTTTATGACAAATAATTATATTAATTATACCGGTATAAAACTATCTTTATAATAATATACTAAATATATGAAATAATATAATATAAGTTACTTTTGTTATTAAGTTATATTTTAGATTTTCATATTACCTGTGAGTTGATCCTTAAGGTTGCCTTTGGCTAAAAGGATGTAATAGTTTTTGCTTAAGTCAAACAATATATCCTTAACAGTTGTCTTAGCAATTCGTGTCCATTTGCAGTTAATAAGCCCGCCCTCCACTATCACATTA